GAGGATGGCACTGAGGGGGGGGGGGGGGGGTGGAGAGGGACAGACAAAGAGAGGGAACGATAGGGAGATTAAGAAATGGAGCGTGGTTGCAATGGATTGACGAGCTCAACAAAGAGATGTTGTGGTCGAGTTGTGTTGGAAGGTAAGAAATTCAGCCGTATTTGAACAGAGCGAATTAAATTTGCTAAGGATTTCATCATGCACGACATGAACTTGTCAGGATTAGAGAAAACAATTATTATTTAATCAAAGTTTTGGAGAGGAAGCAGATATGGAGGTGGTCTTCGATGAGAAAGGAAAGGTTAAGGTTCATCAACAACAATCTACGTGATTGGGATGTTCGACATCGAGGAAAAAAGAGTCAGTGCATTAAGCCAAATAGAGATGAGATTGGCAAGGGGTTGTGCCTTAGCGAGAGTTGATACAAATGAACTCAGTTAACAAAGACAAGTTGGAGTTTGCAACGATGTCGGAGCTTTGTGAGTGACAATACAGGATACGAAAAAAAAAAGCAATTGAGAGGGTTGGGCAAGGGGTGAAAGGAGGAGATCAAGTAAAAAGCAAGAGAAAGGACCCAAGGAGTGAAAGGCGGTCCCAATTCTAAGAAAGGCATAGATTTACTTATAGAGAGAGGATAGAGAAGATCTAGAGCTACATACGGAGGATAAAGCACCATGTGTATGGCTAGAGCACACGGGAAAGAGGATATGGAAAGACAGTTGAGAGCAAGAGAATAAAGGTTTTGGAAAGCAAACAATAATGACTGAGATCGCATAGCACAAATGAGCAACGATTATAGGATTACCTGCTAATGATATATGCGAAGTGGCCTTGAGTAAGATTCGAGATGATGAATGTTGGCTAATATCTAAAGGCTCGTAAGGAAAAGAATGAAGCAAGAAGGAAGATCTAGAGATTCTCTTTTTCTTCTGCTTTCTCCTACTCCTTAGTAATGAACAAGGGTAAACTCAATCCTAATTTTTTTTCTTCCTCTTTCATTCATGTCTCCACAAAACAATGTGAAACTCTGCATTTTTCCTATGCTATTATCACGTAAAATGGTGTACCCCATATGTTCATGATTTAATAGTTGTTAATCTATGTATTTATGATTTATAAGTGAATATATTTAATGCATGTTTAAAGGATCACATATGATATAAAGAGTTAAATATTTGTATATTATTACATATTAGTAGATAAAAATTTAATAATAATTAAGTTTTTAATTTGTAAATGACAATTAAAGTGTGCTTTTGTATCAAGCAATCAAAGTGATTTTATAGTGCATGTTTTTTACCTTGGCATTATGATTGATTTGCATGGATTGATGCTAAGAGGGACTATGACAAATACAAAGAATTTTTCAACCAAACCAACCAAGAACCAAAATTTACTTAGCGATATTTTTAGTCAATCTATGGGCGATTGTTTGATTGGTTCAGTTTTTTAAACGAAAGAAGAGTTTTTGGGACAATGTTTTTTTTATATATATATACCAAATAAATAAATTTTGGTTTATGTAAAACTGAATTAAAATTAGGTTTGACTGGTTCGGTTTTGCTAAAATTTTGTTTGGTTCAACTGTTCGGTTTTTGAATTTTGGTTCAGATCAGTTTGTTGAATTTTAAAACAAATCCATCTGAACCAATTGAAAGCCCACCCCTGATAAAGAGGCTGGTAATCTTATTTTTGAGTGAGATTAATGTTCCATTTTCTTAGACCTGTTGCGACATCTAGTTGATTTATTTATGTTTCATGCCTATTTGTATGCTTGCATATGAAATGATGCTACCTCTATGAGATTGTTGCCATAAATAGCTTTGTGATGATTTATCCCTTCACATTGTGATAAATTTCTCATATTGCAATGAATCTCATGGGTATGTTCTCATGTTTACAAATACCCAAATAGATTTTATATTGTATTGTGTAACTTTCCTTACAAATAGGCCTAATATATATCGGCGTGAATGCAAAAGAAATAATATGTGAATGTTTGTATATGTATATTGATATAAATTCACTCTTATAGCACTAGTTTGGAAGACTTGTACTGATGTATTAATCGGTTTGCCTCCTATCACTTCATTGACACGATTAGTTTAGGAAATGTAATAAATATTGAAGTATCATCTTAATACATGAGTTTTAGACGATGCTCATATAGCAAATATGTTAGCCATCCACACAAAAAGATATGTTTTGCAATGCTTCAATTTTTATGTTGATGTTAAGGTTAAGGAAAGCCTGCAATGGGATGGAGGAGTCATAGAGATGATTCTACTTGCAACTAGTGAGGAGCACCTTCAGTCAAGAAGCTAAGAAAGATTAGAGAAAACTTAGAGAAACAATGAAGAATTAGAGAGGGAAAAAATTACAAAATAGTTTCAGAAGTGCAAAATCTATAACTCAAATCAGTCGGGGCTCTAACCCCTAGCTCACCTAAAAATCTCCTATTTATAAACAAAGATATGGGGACACAAGTACAAAGGAAAAACTATAGTATAAACTACACATATAATAAATTCAGAAAGTCTATAGCTTTACTACAAACTTAGTCTCGGGCTAAAATAAATAGTTGATTGTTCAAAGTACGAGATGTTGAGACAGCTCAAAGTAATGCCCGAGTGCTTTATTCAAATGTGGAAGGCAATTTGGGCAGGTTTGGTCCAATGAGTCTATATTGAGGCAATTTCTTCTTTAATTCTATAGAATGTTTTCTCCTCTAATCAACATGTGAGTCCACATAGCCCAGACAAGTTGATGCCTTGAACTTGGTTGAACTAGTAGCTCCTAGTCCCAACAGTAAAGCATGAATCTGGTTGGCAGTTAATCTCAAACTTAGCCCGGGATTCTCGATGGGACCAGGTTGGCAAGCTCATCTCCTTGTCCCTCTCTTGGGCAAATCTAATCCTAGGGTGTGTGCTTGCAATCCCGTTTCTATAAGCATCAATAATATACATCATTATGTTAGTTGATTAATTAATAAATTGAATGAAATTATTTGAGGCCAATTAGATACTCTCCAAATAAAAGTTGTGCACATGGAGTTTATTTATTAGAACTCTATTAGTTAAATATTTATTAATTTTTGTTGGATTAATTTACTTAAATGGCATTAGATTTTATAATTATAGTCCCATTTGTTATGAATCTTCATTTGCTTGACAATATTATATTCATTGCATTAACTACTATTTATCTCCACATCCGCTCTTATTGAGTTGTTGAAACCTTTTAGGCCAATTGAGTGGGATGTGGCATGAAAGGTGGTGAGTTTATGATCAACAATCACCCAATGACAATAGGAAATAGGTTTACCTTCCTTTATACAATTTACTCAAAATTCAAGTTACTTTTTTCAATATAGCATATAACCCACCTTCGTTTATAGATATCAAAAATAGATAATTCTCTTTGCAAATAGTGTGGAGCTAAATATCTATATCTTTTCATACAATAGAAGCAAATGTGAATTCCTTTAGTTCATCGTGTAAGCTAACCATCATCAAATTTGAAGTATGTGTCACTAGATATCCTACTCATCCCTTTTCCCAGCAATGAATTCCATATAACTGCTATTCGGTTGCTAGTAGATAAAATAAATAAAATATTTGTTTCAAAAAAAAAGGCTATTTTCACTCATTTTGTGCGCGGAAACAAATCATCACTCTTGATATAGTTTGAAGGTGCTTTAGATATTTAAACCAGTATTGATTCTAATTACATCTAACAACATAGTAGAATTCAATAAATCTGATGCTTTCCAACATATGTTTTCCAATTTCAAGCAAAAAAATGTACCCTAAGACAAAATATGTCATCTAAGAAATAATACACCTTGAGCAATACGAAAACTTCTAATACTAAACAACAGTTCACCAATTTGAAACGAAAAAAAAAAAAAACTACCATTCACCGGATAATAACCACAGATGATGAATGTAAAAGGAAAGAGATTAGAGCGTGGTAGAAATTCCTTCACCTAATGCTGACATCGCGTTCTGAGGAGGTCGGAACCGTCAAAAGTTGATCCGAAGGCTTGCTTTCATTGACGGGATTCACAGCAAGCCTCTTCGCGGAGCAAACATAGCCGTGATGATAAGAGGAGACTCGAATAGTAGGAGAATCAGGATATTTGGGCGAAAGGGAAGGAGAGGAGGAAAATGCAGCAAAGGAAAGTGGGTAAGAAGCAAAACTCGACCTCGCCATCTTCGATTAGGTCGAAACTGTGAGGACGAAAACTTCTGGCCGGATTTTATGCTTGGTGGCCGGCGATGCTGCCAGTGGTGACGGACTAGAAGGGTGAGGCGTGCAGGTGAGTCGAGCTCGTCTCTGAACTGAGCTCTGTGAGCTAATGTTAAGTTCAACTTAAGTCACCGCTAAGCATACTGGTTAGCTTGTGAGTCGGTTATCCAAGAGATAATTAAAATAAATAATACTAAAAATATATTAAATTTAATGAATTGTTTTTAAAATATTAAAATTATTTTAAATAAATAACATTTTCTATTATATTATATATATATATATATATATTTTTTATCTATTAATTGTTCATTCTATTTATTATCTTATTATAATGTTAGCTTAAATTAATATTATTATAATTGTTCATTCTATTTGTTTCGCTTTTGTAATAAGCAAATTGGTCTGAACTCGTAGACTTAACTTAACCTCAAGCTCGGTTCGAACTCGATAAAATTAGTCAAGCTCAATTCAATTCGAGGGCGGCTCAAGCTCGACTCGACTCATTTGCATTCATAGACGGGTGTAGTTCAGCTCGAGCATTGTAGAGCTGATATGTCATCGACAAATTCCCATCGCATGACACGGATCCCGAGGCATGACACGGATCTCAATGCAATATTTTGAGTAATAAATATTCAAATTTTGATAAAAAATCGTCCATAAATTGATTTATCAAACTTATAGTCAAGTTGACCAACTCGACGAACATGATCCAATTGTATCAAAATTGGTCCAATCCAAACCAAATCAAGCCCAAACAAGTCATTAAACCGCTTTTGGAAGCTTTTCAAGCATTTTGGAAAGTCAAATGAATGTTGAATTTGACGAGCTTATGATTGAATTGAGCGTCTCGACAATACAAATCTAACGAACCTAAGATCGCTCAATTCCAATATCGTTAAGGCACTCAAATGTCTGTCAAATACCGTATGATTAAGAGAGTATATTCGGACCTTCTGATCCTATCAAAGTGGTTCAAACTTTTTTATTAATTGCATCTAGAACTCTATAAATAGAACCTTACCCTCACTTGAAAAGAGCCTGGAGCTTAAATCTTGAGGAGAGCATGAAATTTTGAGAAGATGCAGAAGTCGAGCATTATTCTTGCTACAGTCAACCACTACCGACGACTGTCGATCACCACTCCTCGCTAATCCTCTTCGGTTGCTGCCTCTTCTCATGAACCAGTTAGCAGGCGAGGTGGACAAGATTTGTGTGGAATTTATGTAAATTTTTTGTTTGAGAGGTGGCTGACCAGAGCAACAAGGGGTCAACCAATGGATGGCCGGCTGGAAGGGTGGGCAGTCTACCAAAGGGGGAGGGGCAGGGGAGTGGGCAGTCGACCGATAGTCGAGTTGGTTGGCCAGAGAATGGTCGGCAAGATTTGGTGACATTTATGTAAATAAGTTATTTTTAAGAGTGAGCTGTAAGGCAACCGGCCAGTGGACAACCAGTCGAAGGGGTAGGAGGTCGGTTGGCTGGCAGACAGACGATGTGGTCGGTGATATTTGGTGGCATTTTATGTAAATTTCTATTTTTAGGTGTTGGCAAATCATGTAGCCCCGCCGCTTGAGGTGGGGTGGTTCTATGGCCATCCGTAGTGGTTGACTCTGCAGGTTCGTGATTGCCAGGGCGTCTCTGGCAGTGGCGATCCTTCCGGCTCAGCGATGTTGCATATTTGGGCTATACAGTAATATTACATTGAAGAAGAGACAATTGCTTGAATGAATGATTGTGATTTACTTCAAATAAATAATATAGTAATTTAAAAAAAGCACTTTGGTTGACACACACACACACACACACACATATATATATATATATATATATCTAATCATATTCAAGACAGCCTAAATTTTGCCGAGGAGCTTATATTTGTAGACAAACCATAAGTGTCTGCCTATAAACTTGAATAATTGGTTACCCACCTAATGATCATGTATAATGATTAGTGACCTATATACTTGAGCATTTATTCTTCATTTGAAATGATTCCTAAATTTTATATAAATGCATTAAATAATCTCCATCTCCATGAGTGGACAATGTTTTGCATATATACACACATATATGTAACATAACATAACTCCATCTTCCTTGTCTTTGAAAATTCCTACAAAGTTATTCACATGTGTAATTACACATTGTAGTTGTTGCCACCTATATGATGGATCAATTTTATAAAACACAAGCTTTTTATCATGTGATGACACCTTAAAATAACAATTCACAATGAGGTGCTTTAATATGTGTGATATTTGTTAAATAATTTTCTTAGACCATGATTTCTCTAAAGCATCAAAACCTCTAGGTAATGCAATTACTACTTGGTTACGACATTTAATTCATCTTAAAGGATAATATTCCAACATATAAGCTACAGAGATTTGTCATCATTTGTTAATCAAATTTTTCTGTATGGTCACCATACCTGCGGACAACTGACGAGAGCCGGACAGGAAAAACGCTCCATTTGTTACAACTCTAAACTTGATCTCTACATCTTTCAAAATTATTTTGGCTAGTACAAGCATTAAATTTTTGAATAGTCAATGTTAGATGTATAAAAGCATATCTAAAAGTGGATTTGTGCTCATCCTTACCTCTATCTCAATCACTGTCAATACAGTTAATCAATTTTAAATTTCAAATATGAAAGCACAAATTTAGGTTGGAAATAATGTTGGGTATGGAAGTATGCAGTATCTCTTCATGGATAGCCAATGATTCCAACGAAGCTTGCTTTGATAAAAACTCAAGCCTCCAAAAATTTTGATATTGACTCATACATACATCACAACTCACAATTAGACATCATGTTGCAATTCTATAAGAGATTTATTATAGTTTAGAATGTTTCAATAAAAGGTGAATTAAGCTATTCTAAATGATTGAGAGTGTCTTTAATATATGGCACTTGATATGCATGAAATTTTAATTTTATAAGAGTGATAATTAACATAAAGAGCTCTCACATTTGAATGGATAAATGAGTAATAAATTTAAAAAATTGAAATAGAAATTGATTAAATTACATTTGGCCAAACTTTAATCTCCAAAATTCTTTCTTTAGAGAAAATTTTATGAGCAACTTAACAAGGCTAGATATTGGCCCAAGTTTATGAATCCTTTTCATTATCTTTCCCATCACCATGACAATTGTGGCGAAGTTTACAAAATCAACCATCTAATATGTTTTGGACACTGGAAAATTGCTTCAAATATAATTTTAATTTATTATTATTATTCTTTTTAAGAAATCGATTTGTTTGCTATGAATGAGAAATGAATTATTGAGATTTTAAGATACTTATGACATATTTGAGAATAGGGGTGTGAAATTGACGTATTCAAATGTATTGATTGACAGATTTATTAGATCGACTAAACCAAATAAAATTATGTAAAAATAAAATGATAAAATCATAAGTAGAATTGAGTCAGATCGAATCATAATTTAATTTAGTTTATTCTGTTATTTATAGATTTATTATTTAAGAAATTGAGCAAATTCAACAAAATATATTATGATATATTTAAATTTTTGATTTAAAGTGATTATTAATGTGCACCCCTAGGTGGGACTATTTTTATTCTATCTTCTAAAGTATATTTGTTTGGTGCATTTTACATAAATTTTAATTTTTTATCATTAAAATTCTAACAATTAACACAAACAAAAACATGAGTATAACATGGTTGTACTTAACAACAAATCAAACAAGAGACCAAACAAAGAACATATCCTACTTCAAAATATTATTTTAACAATAAAAAACATGAGTACAACGTGATTGTACTGAGCAAAGAATCAAACAGAAGGCCAAACAACCATCAAATCATGTTTCAAAACAATGTTCAATACTAAAAAACATGAACATAACATGACTTTACTGAGCAAAAAGTTAAACAAGATGGTAAACAAACATGTAATTATGTTTCAAAACATTATTTTACGCTAAAAAAACATGAGAACAATATGATTGTACTTAACAAAAAATCAAACATGAGCTCAAACAAACATCAAATCCTGCTTAAGAACATTATTTTACACTAACAAAACATGTGTACAACATCGTTGTACTAATACAAAAATCAAATAAAAGCCTAAATAAACATCAAATCCTACTTCAAAATATTATTTTACTCTAACAAAACATGAGTACAACATGATTGTACTGAACAAAAAAAATCAAACAGGAGACTAAACAAATATAAAATCCTATTTCAGAACATTATTTTACACTAAAAAATATATGAGTACAACATGGTTGTACTTTACAAAAAATAAAAAAGGTGACTAAACAAACATCAAATCTTGGTTCAAAATATTATTTTACACTAATAAAATATGAGTACAATATAATTGTGCTTAATAAAAAAAAAACCAGAAAGTCAAAATATATATATTTTTCTTGACACTTCGGAACATTGTTTCTGCTAAAAGTCATAAAAAAAACATCCATGTTGAAAAAATATGCTTAAACTAGAGAAAATCTTGAATACATCCATGTTGTATTTAGAAAATTTCTAAATAACTAAAAGAACCCGGGAAGAAGAATATAGATCGTGATAGTTTAACCGGTAAGTTGGAAGAAATATATTTTTCGTTGTTGCGATAAAAGATGGTGAGGGAAGAAGATGAGAAGATGACAACTCTTTTACTTGCGAGAAAACTGAACCTTAAAATTTGAGTAATTTAAATAGTATAAAAGTGTAACCAAAATGCATAAATTGTCATCGGCGACGGGAAAGGTGAAATCCTAAAAGAAGGAATAGAGACGATTCTGAAGCACAAGAAAAGCCGCAACTGCCAGTTTATAGTACCAAATGTCATCGATGAACACTAGAAAAAGAAACGACCCCGAAGCACAAGAAAAAAATTTCAAATGCAAAATAAATACTTTACATTTCAAAAATTACCTTTTATTTTTATGGTGTAAATACATTAATTTATATGTGTCGGATCGAAGTTCAAGCTTCACACCTTTTTTTAGAAGGGAAAATGATATTTAGTTGACAGCAAAATCTCTGCAAAACCCTAGCGATCGATATTCAGCACCGTGACTCCCGTTAATCCTCCTCTAGTCTCGAGGCCTCCACTGCCTTCAGTCATGGCCTTCTCAGCTATAGTTCGCCGCGCCACCTCGCCGACCGCACGATATTCCGTAGAGTTCTGTATCCGTCGTCAGAGTGTTCGTAGTCTTAACTTCGCTCCCTTACGTTCCCTTCCCACTGGAGAAATCCTTAATCGCGGAGAAGGAAGCCAGCCTCCCTCCTCCTTCTTGCCACTCGCTCGCTTCTCTTCGTTGCTGTCAAAGAAGCAGGCTGCAGATGCCGAACTTATTCAGATAATCAAATCGGAAATTAAGTGCGCCGATGAAGAGCATCTAGCGGTAAGAACCATGAAGACTTGCATTTTTTTTAGTTAGAGCTTTGATTTGCATTATTCAGTAATTTAGATGTTCTGATTGAGCGCCTGATGCTTTAATTACTGTTCTCGTCCTCAAAAACTTAGGTAATGTGTAAAGTTCAATCCATGAAACTGTGATGGATTGAGAATGAGTGATTTCTTAGCCTTCTCCTGATGCTGTGTTTTTGGAGTAATTCATAATGCTCTTTAATGGCAGGATTTTTATATTGGAAACTTAATAATTACATGGCTATCGACTTGGCTTAAAAATAAGTGCAAGATGTTTAAATTTGATCTTTTGCACTTTGTTGTTTCCATTAGACTGGTTTGTAAAACAACACGTATATTAAGATGCATGGCTGACTCCCAATTATCATCTATAAACCTAAAATTTGACGTTCAATCCTATTCTCTTTATGTTCTTGATAGCACTTACTGTCTCAATAGATCTTTCAATACATCTTGGACCATAAAGATGAAGCTCATAATAATTAAGAGTTTGTTGGATTGCTTTCTGCTTGCTTTGAGTTTTAGACTGCCATCACATATTTGATTGAAAAAATTGCTTGTTTGCCGGTTTCTAGAAATTTTTGTTGTCAAAAGCTGTTTTTTTGCAACTAGATCTATTAAGTGTGATGGTTGTAAGAAAATTATTGTCAAATTTTTAGGAAAAAATAAATATTTATAATTCACACCGTCGCTTTTTAAGAAGTTGCTTTCCTCACCATAGCTTTACAAGCATTTTTTTTTTTAAAGTTGTGCCCATCTCAAACTGACCCTAAAATTTAACCATTTCGTTGGCTTTGATATATTTCACCGAATGAGCATTCATAAAAGAATCAAATGCTTCTTCTATATTGTTAATTGGAACGGTTTGGATACACTAAATTTGAACGATAGACCACACTTGTTGACCCAAACTTGAATGTTCTCTTAAGGATGGAAGGGTCCAGGAAAAACTTAAATATAGGATGGGAGAGAAACTTTCCTCTCGCAATTCAAAACTAGAAGAGTTCTGATTCAGCTAATAACCAATTCTCTGAAGGAGCATCTATTTACCAACCACCCAATTCCTATATATTTGCATATCTAGCACCTATACGTCTACTTTTTTATATTTATACCCCCCAAATCTTTCATGTCACATAAAAAATACTTTCATTTTTAACTTAAAAAAAGTGAAATGTACCTTTTCATTAATAAGGTGGTATGCATGCAAACATTGTAGCCTAGGTGTTAGATATGTAAATACATAGGAATTGAATGGTATGCATGCAAATAAGCCTTTGCTGAGTTGTATTCTTCATCTTTCTTGTTGTTCGATATGAGCGCAGAGGCTATCCTCTTTGTGTTATTTCTATATAGCAAATTTTCGGATCCTTACAAGTGGTAGAAGAAATCTGTGTTTGTATGTTATAGCAAAAGATTACAAACAAAGATAGAGAAAAGGGGCAGCGATCACGAGCAGAGGAAGGAAAAAATTACGTATGTATGGAAAAACTTATTATTGATTCACTCATAATGGATACACGATCTAAAAACTTGAAAAAAAAATCCAAAAAAATAGCTATCCAACATTAAAGAAACACGCTTGAAATAAAAGGAACATAATTCCTAAATTGGTGGAGATTATTTAAACTATCCACAAGGATGTGAAATGATAGAACATCAAAATTTTTATTTTTATTTTTAATCTTGCCATTATAGGCTTGTTGAAAACACAAAACTGCAGTTTTGGAGTGATTGCTTAACATCGAGTGCATTTGACATGTTCTTAATGCAAAATCTGGACTTATACAACGTAACATTCAATTAGTGTTACATGTTATGCATGAAAAAAAGAAGAAAGATTTACATACATAAAACTCAACTCTTATGTATTTATACATCTAACACCTAAATTCAATTTTTACAAACATATACCTCCTTACATATGCATTGAAAGGTGTATTGCATTTTTTAAAAGTTAAAATAGTGGTATGAAAAAATTTGGGCGGTGTAAGGTAAACAATGAAGTTCAGGTAATTGAGTGGTATGTATGTAAATGTCCTAAAAAAGAAATATTTTAGAATTCAATAAATATGGTCTCTACCTAGTTTGTTGGAAATTATGAAGTTTTGGCATATTGCTTTAATTTTAGGAGGTTAAAGTTCAATATATTTTGATGCAATAGTGCATGAAAAAATATATTTTCCTATCCATTTTTCGCAGTTTTTTTCTTTACAGTAACATATAAATTTATCAACTGTTGATCTTGTGGCTCGTTTCAGGCAACCTCGCTCATCTAAGGCATTGAAATTTGAACAAACTTTACAAATTCATTATAAAAACCATTAAGGACAATTCCTTGCGTCGGAGAAACCTAATTTGAAGTTTTTTTGAAAGAATTTGTTCTGAGTATATTTATAGAATGTGTATTTTACCTTTTTTTTTTTTTTTAATACCACTCAAATTTTTCATATCACATCAAAAATACCGCCATTTTAATTTTTAAAAAGTGAAATACCCCTTTTCATGTGCAGGTAAGGTGACATGCACTTAATAATTAAAGTTTTCTAAGTGTTAGATATGTAAATTCATAGGAGTTCAGTGTTATATATGATAATCTTCTTAAAAAAAAAAGAAAAACCGGTATCTTTTCTTGATCTTATATTCACCCAGGCTGAAGAAATTCCAAAAGGTTTTCCCTTTGAGATCCAAGATGAAGAGGGCTCAAACATTATAACTCTAAGAAGAGATTATTTGGGTGAAAAGATTGAAGCTATTGTTTCCATGCCTAGAATTGAGGAACCTGATAACATTGAAGGTGTAGGTGACGGGGATGCCGGTCGTGCAGGCGACGAGAAGATCAACCAACCCGCTATTCCGCTGACTGTCAACATCAGCAAATCCAAAGAACTAAATCTGGAGTTTAGCTGCACCGCTTTTGCCGACGAAATTGTGATCGACAGCTTATCGGTCCAAAGAAAAGATGAATCTGATGATGGTGTGCTAGCGTATGAAGGTCCTGATTTCAAGTAAGAAGAAACCACAATAGACTCGATTCCTCTTGTAGTTTTTATTTGGAAGATTGACAGATACCAATTAATTCTTATGTATTTACATATCAAGTAAGGTGTTAAAATAGTCCCCTGACTCTATAAGTGGGGTCATTTTATTCCCAATATATGAAATTGTCAAATTAGTCCATAGAGTCCTTATATTGGGGCTGAAATAGTCCTCAATGACGGCTATTTCAGCCTCTGTTAAAAAAGTCTAGGGACTAATTTGACAGTTTTATACACTCTGGGACTAAAATGACCATTTGCAAAGAGTCACCTAAACTTCCATTTTTACATATAAGTATTTCACTTTTTAAAAATTAAAATTGTGCTTTTTCTTTGTGACATGAAAGATTTGGACGGTATAAATGTAAAATGTGAAGTTTAGGTGTTGGATGTGTAAGTACATTGGTTATGTAAATACATAGGAATTGTGGTATGTATGCAAACGCCCCCTTTTATTTTTAAAATCTTGGTATATTTATACTACATAAAATTCCTGTGTTATAGTGATCTTGATGAGAATCTCCAGAAAGCATTTCACAAGTTCTTGGAAATAAGAGGGATATCTCCGGCGACCACCAACTTCTTGTATGAATATATGATACACAAAGATGATAAGGAGTACTGCCGGTGGCTTCAGAATCTGAAGCAGTTTATTGAAAAGTAATGAGAAGAAGATTGAATGATACAAAGTAGAGGTTTGTCTCTATTCTTATAAGAAGAAATTTTGTTTTTGGTTCTGGTTGAGTTTTTTATATGTTGGAGAGGGAATTCATGCTGATTTCATAGATCTATCATGAGTTTTGATTTATATTTTGAAGCTAAACGCCATCTGATTTATATGTTTCTCTATCTGCGCTTAATTTGTTTTGAGTCTATTATATTTATAATCTGGCTGAACTGCTCTGCTTGCTCTGCTTTGATGCAAGTATTTGCATCTTTCTATAATAGTTATTGTCAATGTTTGCAGGGGGAGAGGTTATTGTTTTTGTTTTATATAAAATTTCCACAAACATATAAAAGAAGAGTTGTAAGAGACACTAGAGTTTTATGTGAAAAAAAAGTTACATATATTATAAATAGAGATTATAATAAGTCTCTTTTTTGAGAAGACAGGATTACAAAGTATTGAACATTATCATATTTCATATTTTTGTAATTGAAAATGTTGGATAAATGTTAGGAGGGGTGACAATGACGGTTGATTGATGGCGACAATTGAGAGATTGAGTTTAGGCTATAGTGGATGACCGGCACAATTGGATAAAGATTGTCGAATAATGATAGTTGGCCTAAGATGACCGGTCAATGACATTTGATTAACAATGGTTAAGAGGAAGACGGATGATAATAATTAAGAGTGATGGTCAGGTGAAGATACAACAACATCAGTTAGGGTGATAATGACTATCAATATCAAATACAATAACAACAACAATAACAAAATTCTTTATCCCACTAATTGGGGTCGGCAACATGAATCCTTTTTCTCCATTGAGTCATATTTTCATTTAATTCTAATAAATTAAGATCATTTATTATACAAATGCCCAAATCTTTTCAGGTCTACCTCTGCCCTTCTAAACATGAGTCGAATCTAAAATATCTATACTCCAAATCGGATCATCAGATGGTTGACGTTTAATTTGACAAAATCATCTAAGACGACTCTCTAATTTTGTCCTTCACTGGATTTACACCAACCCTATCACAAATTTATTCATTTCGCATTTTGTCTCCAAGTGAAAAGCCACTCATCCATCTAACCATTCTCATCTCAGAAACACTTAACTTAGTTTTATGCTTCTCTTTTAAAGGCTAACATTCAGTGGCATAGAGCATTGCAGGTCTCATCATCATCTTATAATTTTTTTCTTTCAGTCTATAGTGGTACCCTTCTATTACACAATAGGCCCGAAGCATTCCTCCACTATCAACATCAAATGTTTAGAAAAAAAATTATTATGGAATTGTTTAGATCTCCAAACTCTCTAAATTTAGCTCTCTATTTTTCTAATCTTGCTCCACTTTTGAGGACAATTATTATTATTCATGATTTTAGGCTATAAAGTGGCAATCATGCAATTCCTCCAACCTTGAAACACCTATCAACTACTAGTCATCTAATGCCCAACCATATTTAGGAAGAATATTACTCTATTTTAGATCATCCATTGAATGAATATCATCTCTACTTTTAAAAAATATTGGTGCTATAATATGTATTCCAATAACATAACTAATAAAAATCATTTCTACTTATCAACACTTACTTTCTTTTTTGAACTTTCATCAAAAAATCATTTTTTTTTTGTACATTATTTCTCATTCAATGAACATTATTTTTACATGGAATAAACAAAAGGTAAATTTACTACATACTTCACATCTAACAGCTAAATTTGATATTTATATTTATAACACTGGCGTTAGAATTATGCGCGAAAATATGTATTTTACTTTTAAAAAGTTGGTAACATTGATGTTTTTAATGTAATGTCAAAATTTTTTAGTAGAAAATAGGTAAATATGAAACTTAGGTGTTACTTATTTTTATATAATTTTTTTTTATTTCGAGCTAAAACGAGTCGAACACGAGTGAACAAAGAACTGTTCGTGTTCGGCTCGTTTATAATTCGAGCTCAAAAAGTGTGTTCGTGCTCGGCTCGTTTGCTTAACGAACGAGCCGAGAACCATTCACGAACAAAAAAGTCGTTTTGACAAACTTAATCAGGTAGTCATAAGATGTTAAGGATTGGGACAAGATTTAAAAATTATTATTTATATTAAATATCGTTTGAATCTAAGAATTTAATTTAATAATTTTTATTCTATTTTCTTAATCAATATTTTAATTGATTATAAATCTTTGTAGCCTTGTATTCGATTAGATTTTTTTTAAAATACTATTTAATATATATATATACTTGATGAGTAGTATTTCGAGCCAAAACGAGCCGAACACGAACGAACACATCTTAGTTCGTGTTCGGCTCGTTAACTTATCAAACGAAATTAACGAGCGGAATACGAGCTTCTTAACGAGCCGAACACGAGCTGTTCGCGAACAACGAGCCATTTTGACAGCCATGCTTATCTATAAGGATTGTGTGGATGTAAGTAAATGCCCCTAAACAAAATCAACAATCAAATAACTTTCATAGGCTTTCACAACTGAATTGTTCAAATAACCTTCTTGGCATAAATGACACTTGTAAAGGAATAAACATCTTGAAAATCCTGCAGTTCCTAAGCACCAATAATTAATTCATTTTCTCTATTTGTATATAAAATTTGAGCATTTATATATATATTATTTTTCTGATCGCTTGAGACCTTTGCATGATATCATGTGCGAGTGCAATTTCTGTGGGTTGAAGGGCTTTCCACATTGCCTGCAATTTGAATAAAAGGAGTAAAATATAATAAATAATTTAGGTTTGGCTCAAAATAATAATAAAAAAAAAATTGAAGCCATGAATAAGGGTGTAAACGAACCAAACACGAACTGACAAAATTTGTGTTCGTGTTCGGTTCGTTTGAAATTTAGTTTGCTTGAAATAAACTCATGTTCGAAATTGTTCGTGAAGTCACTGTTCGTGTTCGTTTATAGCTGAACATGAGTTGTTCGCGAACGACGAGTCAACTTGACATCCCTAATATTAATATATATAAATAATATATTATATTATTTATATAACTTATATTATATAAATATATAATAACTATATTAGTATAGTACTAATATAATATATTAATATATTATTGTTATTATTAGTTTATAAAATTTAATTTTTTAAAATATCATAAATTTTTTATAAATAATTATTTTTAATTATTTTATATTTCGAACAATAACGACTCGAACACAAACGAACACATCACTATTCGCTTTTGATTCGTTTAACTAACAGAATGAAAAAAATTTGTTTACGTTCGTCTCGTTTATATATCGAACGAATCGAACACGAACTCATTGACAAATCGAACAAAAACTGTTCGCGAACAACGAGCTTGTTTCAATGCCCTAGTCATGAATACAAAGATTAATTTTCAATCTCTCTTTCCTTAACTGAATTCATTCTACCTTAATATTTTGGGGCTTTAGATACACACAACAGAATTATTATACATTTATATATCTAACACCTAAAAATTGATATATTTTTTTATAAAATTTGAATTTTTTTTAAATAAAATGTAAACTTTAAATTATATAAAAAAATCAGAAAAATTAAATTTTTTAAAGTTAAATATATTTTATGCATTTGAGACACTAAATTTAAATAAATAAAAATTAAAATTAAGGTAAGTATGTAAATTTCCTTCTTGTTTAAATCCACCTAGCATGAGAAAGGAAAATTTTAATTTCAAGATATTCTAATTAATAAATTATAAGGACAAAGTTTAAATTCATTTTAAGATATTATATCAACATAATATAAATTGTATTAGTTATGTTAAATTTAATTTACAAGGAGAACCAAGTTTAAAAATTATTGAAAATACATTGAATTTAGTATAACTTAAACTCTTCAACTATGGCACTAATTTTAAGACGAATCCAATAAGTGTTACGTTCACCCTCTTGCAATTTATATCATGATATATTCTAAAACATTTTTGGAAGAACTATGTATTTACATATCTAAAGCCCGAACTTTAGTTTTTACATATATGTCATCTTATCTGTACATTAAAAGTTGCATTTTACTTGTTAAGGTTGAACTTGTAATATCTTTTATGCAACAGGTAAATTTAGGTGTCATAAATGCGCCTAATTTTTTTAATATCAATTTATTTTACTTTTTAAAGCACGCCTAAGAATTTTAAGGAGTAATCAAAGAATATAAGGCTGCTAAGCGTGGATTAGAAAAACAAGACTTCATATTCTCGATTCGAGTACCTCATGAGTTTTCTATTCTTATTCATGGAGATTGTTTAGAAACTCCTTATATTCGATGTGATAATATTTTTTAGACTTTTTTGCGTGAGTTGTACTTAGTGACTGGCAGTTTCTTTTTTTCGTGAGACTGTCAGTCACAAACCATGCAACCTTTTCTTTATTGAAATAAAATTTTCTACGGGATTCTTAAAAAAAAAAAATGGAGTAATCAAAGAATATAGAACTTCAATTGAGTTGACCTTTTTATTAATTCGATAATTTTATTCCTCAAAAATATTAATTTAAGAAAATAATAGTGCGGACATTTAATAATTGAGATATTTGAATGATGAATATATTATAAATTACGAATTTATTGTGCTATAGTTTTTGGACTATTAGTCTGGGTTTGACTTGTTCTTATCGGTCAGCCTCGAATTCAAAAGAGGCTTCACGCTAGGGGTGCTTAAGACGTGCTTGTCAAGTTGGCGGATTTTCATAGATATCACAAAAAAAATTATGTATATATTTATTAAATATTTAAAATTATATATTTTGTTATCTCTATTTGAGATAAATAAATATTTATATTGTTAATATTTTATAATTAATATTTATATAAATAAATATGAAACTTAGCTAATAGATATATAACAAATAATAATGAAGATAAATATATAACATTAATCTTGAAATGTGGGTTGAGTAGTAATAATAATAATAATAATTATTTTTAATCTTATTATTATTTCATTATTTTATGACAAAAAAATTCATAAAAAGTGCAACAATACTTATATATATATATATATATATTATCTTTTTTTTTGTTGAAAAAGAAAATTGATCCCATGCGCTTTTTTGCCGCATGATGAGAGCCTGCGTCATGTGCCTAAAATTCCAAAGCTCCCGCGTCACGGTGAGATCGAACCCTCAGGCCAAGGCTTACACTTAAATTTATAGCACTTTGGTGTCATCAACATGTAGATTAAAGGTTGTGCTTCTTATAGTAATTGTATAGTTTTTTTTGTGATATTAAACATCAGTGCTATGTATGTAAATATCAAAATTTTATATGCTAGAGATGTAAATATATAAAAATTGAGTGGTATATACGAAAATGCCCCAAAAGAATTTATTATATCATCCAAAAATTTCATGGCATAAAAAATATCTACTTAATTTTTAAAAAGTGCAAGGTGGCGCGCATGTAAAAATTAAAATTTTGGTGTTAGATATGTAAATATATAATAATAAAATTATATGCGTGTAATTTTTATTTTAAATAAGGGGTAAAATGTCATTGGGAACTTACGAGCAATTGGGCCGTAGCACATGCGTCCTTCCCGCGTTTCTCGAACTCTTCCCGCCGCCCAACGGTTCGTTTGCCCTTACAAAAAATTGAATCAACATTTCAACTTAGGCAACAATAATGGCGGAAAAATGTTATATCAGGACTTCTTATATAGAGTTACGTTCGGAATCCAATGAAATAACGTCAAGTAGATGTGACAAAAGAATTAAAAAAAATTTTGTTTAAGCACAGGAGAATATTTCCTCTATGTTATTCCACATTATTCAAGTGTTATTGTGGTGATATTCGTGTGTTATTGTGTTCTGAGTATATTCTCGGTATTATAATAACACAACAACACATCAATATCACCACAACAACACTTGAATAACGCGAAATAACACAGGAAGAATATTCTCCTATGTTACCGGGCCAGATCACAGGAAAACGCACGCGTTACCTTGAAACCATGTGTCCGCATATCAATGAACTCCAAACATAGCTCTACGTTAGGAGTCTTGATGTAATATATTTCCAATAATCGCATACCCACCGCCCGCCCATATAAATCTTATAAAAATAAAGCTTTATATTTATGGAACTCTTAATAGTTTTATTTTTTTATTAAAATAATAATTTAAACAATATTTAAGTAATATCATTTATATTAAGTAGTGCTAATTTATTTAAAGTTTTAAGACTTAATAGTATCATTAAACTTTTTTTTTTTTTTTAGCATTTACACATTTACCACCCTAAACTTATATATTAATATATCAACAACATAAATTTTAATAAGAAATATTCAAATTAATCTCTCACATAATAAAATGAGAGAATTTTACATATCAACCACCTAAAATATAAAATATAATATTTTAATCATCTAAATTTTAAATATAGTATTTTAATAATTTTTTTTCATCAAAATATTATATTTAAATTTTTGAGTCGTTAAAATGTTATATTCAATATTATAATTAAAATGTTATATTCAATAGTTGTCACGTAAAGATATCATAAAATCAGGAAAATTTTAAAATTAAATATTTATAAAATAAAAAAAATATTATTCAATTTCTAAGAAGAAAATTGAAAATTTTGCCAAAAAAAAAAAATATATTTAATTTGAAAACTCATTAAAAATAAATAAATAAATTGAAATATGTTTCACCTCTTATTATCATCGACATGCGAGTACTGTAGTCGCAGATGCGACCTATTGGATCTCGAAGACTTCGTCCCGCCGCCGTAGCCACCGCCGCCGGCGAACAGTAGGCTATCCGCAGTATCCACCGCCTTGCAAGTGAGAATGTTACGTAACAAGTGCGAAGGCTTCCGTGGATTGGCTCCGCCGGCCGGCGTTTCCCGCCGGCGAACTTATCCTTGGCTGCTCCTCCTCTTTCTCCTCCTCTACCCCATCCGGCAACACGCCGTTTTCGGCATCCAGCTGCTCATTCTCCGGCGAGCTCCTCACCTCTGCGACGGATTAGACTAAGAACGATTTGCGAATGAAAATTTGTAAGGGTTTAGGGTTTTGAGAGAGTTAGGTTACCGGGAGACGGGAAAAGATCTGATTTAAATTCGGCGCCGGGGAGAAGAGATCCCAACAGAACATACTCGCAATCGGAGATTGGAGTTAGTAGATCGTCATCCATCAAATCCTGCCATACCATTCCCGTCTTATATCTCCTGCAATCGATTCAATCAGCCGATTCAATCTCAGCATGGAATCTGGGAGAGATGGATTGAGATTTATTACCTCTGATAGGACCAGGCGAATGAGTCCGGCATCTCTTTTCCCCTCAATTCCGACAGCCATCGCTTCACATCTGAAGGTCTGGTTTCGATTAGTCATGGAAGGGGATCAAGGAGCAGAGGATTGAGGGAAAGATTGGATTTTTACCGCGGAGGTGAACGCCGGAGTGGCAGAGATGGCGGACGCGGATGAGATGGGGGTGTTCGATTCGGCCTTCGCGATTGAGGAAGTAGATGATGTTGGCTCGCCTTGTCTCTCTGGTCATCTTGGAGGACTCCATTTCCTCCTCTTCTTCCTCTGGTCTGGAGGTTTTGTTACTTCTCTCTTCGTTTTATACAATTTTTTTTTATTTTTTTAATTTGTTTTGGCGCTTTTGTTTTATTTTATTAATAATTTGAGATGTTAACTTCTTCTACACGGCTATTTGAGTTTTTGAGTGTGGATAAGTAGGGCTCTGCCATAAGGAGTTCAAATAAGTAAAATAAAGATGTGTGGATATTTGAAGTTTTGGAGGATGGTTCATTAAAATATGTTTGTATGATTGTTTAAACTATGAACCATAATATACACATAAAATCAAAAAAATGGAGAAGTAAATGAAATGTTTGGGGAGAAAATACCTTTATAATGTGAAAATTCTCAAAGGAAAAAAAAAATGCATTTGAAATAAATTTTGAATGGTAGATGTAAGTTAGATGAGAGTTGATTTTCTTGAAATTTGAAGAAGGCTTTTATATGAAGTAAATGAATGTGGGTTATTGTTAGTATTTTTGTGTTAATGTGTTATAATGTATGAATTTGAGGCCTCAAATTAGTGTGGTGGGTGACTGAGGGAGTATGGTGCACCTTTAAATAGTTGGAGAAATTTTATTTAAGGTGGAAATTGAAAGACATAGGTCATTCAAGAGATTGAGTTAAACTAGTCTTAACATTATTTCTTAATTTTTCACCTCTATGGTTATGACATGGGGAGGGCTTTAGAGTATGAATCATTTTAGAAGTTATGCGGAAGATTTTTGGTGGGGACCCTAAAAGTTTAAGAGTGATTAGTGGGACTATGCTAAGACAAGGTCAAATTGCCTAGTTTGGGTTTATTCTAGTTAGGCTTGAAATATGAAATTGGAGGATTACTCTAGTGGTTTTTTTGGGGCTTGGGAGATTTGGAAGGGCTAGGTGGGGAGAGGAGAGCCAAATTTGATTGAGTGTGCCTTAGTTTTTGTCAATATATATATATATATATTGAATGACCATATAAAGTTGCTAGAGAAATTGGGGATTTAGTTGGAGATGTTGGGAAGAGAGATTAACAAGTGGTAAGAATGATATGTAGGCCTTCTATGAAGAAATATCTAAAAAGGTCATCGATTAAGCATGCAACCAAGGGAATTTTCGCCAACAAACATACAATCTTAAATATTTGAATCTCCATATATATATATATTATATATCAATATTAAACTTAGTTTTTTTTTTCCTTCAAGTAAATATTTGAAGTATTATATCAAATTCTAAAAAAAAGAAACTAATAAATGAAATTATTTTTTAAGGAAAAAAATAAATTTTGACGTAGAGTAAAATCACTTCAAAATCCACTCCCTAATCAAGGGAGTCATTATGCCTTAAAAAAAATAAATTGTAGTCTAAATAGAGGGAAATAAATAACTAAAAGCCTCCTATATGAAGGGGAAAAAAATTAAATATTCAATAGATTAAGATCTAATATTTAAAATTTTAAAATTTAACATGCTTATAATCCTCATTTTGACCATGCACGATCTTTTGTCTCAGAATCAAGCTTTCACCACTTTTGTATTTTTTAGATTTTAATTTTTATTGAAGTTCTTTTGACATGAGAATTAAGTTTACCTCAATCATTATCAAAGTTTGTTTGTTAACAACATTGAGTTAGCAATATGCTCATGTGAGTTTGGCGATGAGCTAAAAAAGATGAACCCTTGATCTTCTTCTTCAATTCTCACATCAACATTTCTAAGTTCATAAATGATTTTGTTGAACTTTTTTATGTCTTTTGAGATAATTCGACTCTTTTAGAAGAGTGCACAATTGTTTTTCCTAAACCTTAGCGGTTGATGCCTCTTTAACCACTTCTCTCCATACGTTATCTCTAAGTGAGAGAACAATTATGTTGCGGGGTTTTTAATTGTGATTCCCATGCCATTGCATTGTTGCAGTGAAACCTTTTATGTGAATTGCCTTAGAAAGACCATGATGAAAAAGAAAGCTCTCATCTTGATTCGTTGAAAGATAAAATCAATTTTTTTAGTGAAATTATCAATAAAATATGTACATCTACATCGTGTCTATTTTATGAAGTCTCTGATAATGATTTTTGAAAAAATTGGAAGCCACTAATAGTTCAAGAACTAAGAGAAACATAGAAGAAAGAGTAATTGGAATTTACACATATTAGTTCAACTCAATAGTTACTCCATTCTTTTTTATTAGAACACTTATAGTCTAAATTGGGAGAACTTGTCTAACAAATTTTAGTAGAACATAGATTTTACCCTCTCATAACTCTTAGAACCTTCCTTTTTGTTTATATACATTCAGACTACAAGATGACATTAATAACTAGCTAAGCCACATGCAAAAGCCACAAAATAAGTTAACACAATATAAACATGAATCTACCAAACAACACAGGCTGATAGATCAACATGAATCTCAACTCTTTTGAGTAGGGAAAAAGGGGAAATTTAAGTACATACCACATAATTTCTTTGTATTTACACATCTAACGTCTATAATTTGACATTTACATTCATAACATTTCTCAACCCACCCACGTAAAATAAAATAAAATAAAATAATTAAAAAAATTAAAAACATTTATATTTTTGAGGTGAAATTAAAAATTAGAATGTTATGTATGTAAATTTCAAAATTTTAAATGTTAAGACATGTTAATTTTTAATATTTGCAATAAAACTTAGCTTTCGGCTGTCTTAATACATCAATATTCTACACAGAACAGGTGAGTAATTTGACCCGTACAGATATATTCATATATTTTATCGAATATATTTTTGGCTTATCCATTTAACTCCCACATTGAAAGTGCATGCAAGAGGTTCAATTTTTCTTAGCATTTACTGCTGACATTTGGATATAATATGAGAAAGAATAGATTATAATTCGCAGGGACCTCACAACTTCTATGTATTTACATATCTAACTAAAAAAACTTTATTTTTTTAGATTTTTAACATTGAAATCTTTCACTTTCATACGTATTTTTAAGCATGAATGTAAATATATGAAGTGAAGTTTAGGTGTTAAATTATGCAGATGTAAATGACGCCACGTGGAAGTGACAGAAAAATTAAAAAAAAAATTGTTTTATCGCAGGGAAATATTTCCTCCGTGTTATTCTGCATTATTCAGGTATTATTGTGATGATATTCATGTGTTATTGTGTTCTGGGAATATTATCGGTGTTATAATAATACAGTAACACATCAATACCACCACAATAACACCTGAATAATGCGGAATAACACAGGAGGAATATTTTCCTATGTTACCGGGCTGGATCACAAGAAAGAGAGCATGTTTCCTTGAAGCGACGTGTCCGCATATCAGTGGACTCCGAACGTAGCTCTACGTTAGGAGTCCTGATGTAATATTATTCAGGTATTATTGTGATGATATTCATGTGTTATTGTGTTATAGAAATATAGCCGGTGTTATAATAACACAATAACACCTGAATAACGCATAATAACACAGGAGGAATATTTTCCTATGTTACCTGGCTGGATCACAAGAAAGAGAGCATGTTTCCTTGAAGTGACATGTCCGCATATCAGTGGACTCCGAACGTAATTCTACGTTAGGAGCCCTGATGTAATATTTTTCCAATTACATGTTTTTTTTGTCTTTTCTTCAAATTTGATGAATTTTATTGCAAGAATGTATGCAAATATTTGAATGTTTCAAAGTCAATTGTGAAAGAGTCATAAAAAAAGACAATAAATTGAATTTACTTGGACAAAATTGAAGAACTGACAGACAAATAGACCTTTTCAACAAGCAATAGTCCTAAATATTAATAATTTAAATCTAATTAAATTAGAGATAATCTAAACAAAAAATTTAAATTTGTTCGTCTTCGGTTCGTTTACATTTCGAGCTTAAAAATTTGTTTGTGTTCGGCTCATTAGGCTTAACGAACGAGCCGAACACGAGCTGCTTAACGAGCCGAACACGAGCTGTTCACGAATAACGAGCCAAATTGACAACCCTATTTATGACAAATCAAACGTTTGTATGCTAAGGCTGGGATTTGAAAAAATATGCAATAATACTTTTGAAAAAGTGAGAAGGGAGAAATTATTTTTTATATATTTACATACATGCCACCCAATTTCTATGTAACTTTGCTCTTTTACATTTATGCCACTCAAATCTCTTAAATCACATAAAAAATGTTTTTTTTTTTTTTTTACTTTTAAAATGTGAAATAGATCTTTTTATGCATAGGAAAAATGGTATATATATGTGAAATTTGAAGTTCAGGCGTTAGATATGTAAATACATAGGAAATGATTGGTATGTATGTAAAAATCAGTTTCCTAACAATAGTTTTTAAAAAGGCATACCCTTTACATAGAAAATTTAAAGTTATTTTGAAGAATTATTAGTATTGAAGAAATCGACTCACAAATTTCAAAGATGAGAATAATAATTAATCTTCATCATGGAGATATATTTTTCATGGGAAACTTATGATTCGGTTGAAGCAACATCATGATTCAACAAATTTCTTTTAGGGTCTGTTTGGGGCAGCTGCAGCTTATCCAACTTGTGCTGATAAGCAGCTTATCCTGATAATCTGCTGATTACCAGCTGATTCGGATAAGCTGTCTGACTGTTTGGTTAGTGTGTCTGGAAAACAGCTGATTCTGGAAAATTGATCATTTTGTCTCTGTTCTGAATAAGTTGTTTAACTGTTTAAGCAGTTTAGTTGTTTGGTTAGTGCGTTTTGTAAACAGTTTATTTGGAAATTTTTTTATTAAATGAATAATCTGTGCAGCAGAATCTGTTCTTTTCTCAACAAAATTAAAGATCACTGTTCAGACAAGAAAATACCAAAAAGTTGATTTATATTCATATAACTAAAACATATCCGATCACAAATAAGCACAGTGACATATATGAAAGTTCATTACACATTCACACACTAATATGGATTATAATAAGACAAAAAAAAAGAAAAAATAACATGTTAAAATTACTGACAATATTGACTTTAAAATGACTTTAAAATGTAAAATCACATCAAGACGAATGTTGCCCGGTTCTGATACCTCAAAACCCCGAGCAAATCTGTCTGACTCGGGTGCGGTAGATACGGAAGAACTCGAATCATATGCGGTGGTCTCCCGTTGTGGTACTATCAAACTCCTAGCAGCTGCGTCC